AGATAGAGAGAGAAATATCGATGTGAGAGAGACACATTGATTAGTGGCCTCCTGCATTTGTCCTGACCAGGGCCGGGGATCGAGCCTGCAATCGAGGTACATACCCTTGACTGGGATTGAACCTGGGACCCTTCAGTCTGCAGGCTGATGCTCTATCCACTGAGCCAAACTAGCTAGGGCAACATTTATACTAATTTTTAAAACAGATCCCTAAGGTCCATGGAAAACCCCATTGAGCTTTAGATTGAGACTGTACTGAATTTATAAATATGGTATTTAGCTAAGAAGTGCTATCTTTACCATATTGAGACATTTACCCATGAACATAATATATAGATGTTTTATTTTTGGTCTTTTTAATATTATTTCATAGTGATTTGAGTATTTTATTACATTTATTCTCAGGTATTTCATAAGGGTAATTGTCATTGCTAATTTAATCTTCTTGCTTATTTTTATATATTTGTTATTGCTATTATTAACCAAAGCCTATTAATTTTTGGATGTTAATCTCATAAACTTTTTAGGGAATTGACTGCATTTTCAATATCTTCTAGAATTATTGAAATATGAGGGTTTTCTACTTTTTGAGTCAATTTGGATAAATTATATATTTTCCAAGTAAATCATCCATTTCATCCAGATTTTCATATTTATTGGTGTAATGTATTGATACACATTATATTCTTTTGCTAAATCTCTATATTGTTAGGAATACTCCCCTTTTGTTGGCATATTAATTCTATATTGCATTGTATTCAGTGACTATAGCTCATGTGATTTTATTTTTTGTTTATTTTTAAAAAATATATTTTTATTTATTACAGAGAGGGAGAGGGAGGGGGAGAGAGAAAGAGAGGAGAGAAAGAGAGAGAAGCATTGATGTGAGAAGCACACATTGATTGGTTGCCTCCCACATATGCCCCACATATATCGGGGTGGGGATCAAACCTGCAACCCAGGTACATGCCCTTGACCATAATCGAATTCAAGACCCTCCAGTGCGCAGGTCAACACTCTAACCCAGGGGTGGGGAGCTTGTTTACTGCCAAGAGCCTTTTGGATATTTATAACATCACTTGCTGGCCATACAAAATTATTAACTTAAAAGTTAGCCTGCTTTATTTGGTCAAACATTTAATTAACTCACCCCTAATGCCTTGGCAGGGCCAGACCAAATGATTTTATGGGCCTTATATAGTCCGAAAGCTAGAAGGTCTCCACCCTGCTCTAACCACTGAGCATGTCAACCTGGGCTACTTTTTTAAAAAAAAAATACATTTTATTGATTTTTTACGGAGAGGAAGGGAGAGGGATAGAGAGTTAGAAACATCGATGAGAGAGAAACATCGATCAGCTGCCTCCTGCACACTCCCCACTGGGGATGTGCCCGCAACCAAGGTACATGCCCTTGGCCGGAATCGAACCTGGAACCTTTCATTCCGCAGGCCGACGCTCTATCCACTGAGCCAAACCGGTTAGGGCTGGGCTACTTTATTTTTAAAGTTTGTGGTGTAACACAGGACATTTTCATAAATGTTTGATATATTTGGAAAGAATATATGTTCTTTGGTTTGAGGAGTGAAATATTGTGTACATTTGCTAGATAAAGATTAATTGCACTCTTCAAATCATTTATAGCCTTACTAACTTTTTGTCTTCTTGATCTCTCAGTTTCTGAGAGATGTTAAAGTATCCTACTATGTGCCTTTTTAAAATTTCATATTTTATTCATATCACTTTTTGCTTTTTATTAGAAAGATATTTTGTTGGGTGTATAAACATTTGAAACTACATATTTTCTTACGAGATTATTCCTCCTATCAATATGAATTCCCTCCTGAATAAGAATAATGACTTGCACGTAGTTTAAGGTAACTTTTACTTTGGTTTACAAAAAACTAGATCAAAGGATTTATGTAAGACTAGAGGCCCGATGCACGAAATTCATGCAAGAGTAGGCCTTCCTATCCCCGGTTGCTGGCACCAGCTTCCCTCGGGCACCCGGGACCCAGGCTTCCCTCAAAGCCCCGGCTTTGTCCGGAAGGTTGTCCGGAAGGATGTCTGGTCTAATTAGCATATTATACTTTCATTATTATAGACTAGAGGCCCAGTGCATGAATTTGTGCACAGGTGGGGTCTGGCTGGCCCGCCCCATTGGGGGTGGGTTGGGGCGGGTCTGGCCAGGGGGGGAGGGGCCACGAGAGGTTGGCCAGCCAACCCACCCCCGATCTGGGTTGGGAGGGCCAATTGGGGCAGGGCTGGACGAGGGGAGGGGCCGCCCACCATCGGGCTGGTTGGCCGGCTGCAGTGCGCGTGTCATAGCAACTGGTTGTTCCTGTCGTTCCGGTCGTTCTGGCATTCTGGTTGCTTGGCTTTTATATATATAGATAAGGATGCAGGGTGTGAAGGTGACTCTTGGTTGCCCTCTTATGTCTTCTAGAGATATACCCAAAGTTTGGTGGCCTTAGATGGAATAGGTGTCTGGGAAGTATAGAGCTGTGGTCTCACTTCAGCACTAGAAACAACCAATACATTACAGCACATATACAGCAGAAATTCAGTCCTCCAGGGAGTATGGCCTCCTGGCCTGATATCTGAGTCCTTTCTGAGTTAACAGACTCCTCCTACTGGCACCTGTGCTGCCAGGCCAGGGGTTTTCCCTCGGTCTACATTATCTTGAAGGATCTCCAAGGCAAGCCTGCTCATGGACTACCTCAACCTGTTTGCTTGATGTTCGCATTTGCTTGGTATGTTTTTCTTTTTCTTTATTTTTAATCTTTTTGGACTTTGTTTTAGGTGCATCTCAGAGACAGGCTATAACTAGGTTTCATTTCTTGGGTTTATTTTTTTATCTGCTCAAACTGAAAATCCCTGTCAATCAATAGGTGAATTTAACCCATTAACATTTATTATGGATACTGCTTTGTTTGGACTTATTCCTATCTACTTTATTTTTTATTCTTTTATCTCCTTTCCTGACTTTTGTTGGATTTCTGAAATTAGAATTGTATATTTCTTCAATGGTTTGGAAATTATATATTTTGTTCATATGTTCTTCAATATACCAATTAAACTTACATGTTTTTCATTTTTTATTGTTAATAACTACATCTTCCCAATGAGAAAAAGAACCTTAGCATCTTTTGCTTCCCTCCTCTGCACCTATGATATCATCATTCCAGATTATTGTTGAATTTTTTTTTGCAATTACCATTTATATAGACTCAACCTTTTGATTTCATGGTCATCATAGCATTAACTTTCTGTTTTCTTCTCTTTTTGTTTTTTGTTAATCCTCACCCAAAGATATTTTTTCCACTGATTTTTTAAATTTTTTTTATTTTTTAGAGAGAGAATGGAAGGGAGGGGGAGAAACAAAGAGAGAGAAGTGTCAGTGTGAGAAAGACACATTGATTTGTTGCCTCCCGCACGCACCCCAAATGGCACCAGGATTGAGCCTGCAACTGAAGTAAGTGCCCGTGACCGGAATCAAGCCTGCAATCCTTCAGTCCATGAGCCATGCTCTAACCACTGAGCAACCGGCTAGAGCCATGTTTTTCTTCTTTATGAATCAATTCCTCAAATCGTTCTTCCATCAAGTGAATAAAATACTGTCATTTTATACCTGAGAATTTCATTTTGCTCCCACAGTTGAATGAGAGAGTAGCTGCTTGTAAAATTATAGATTTCAGGATTATCCCTCAGCAAAATGGAGACTTAAGAACTGTACATTTTACTGTATGGAAATCATACCTCAGTAAAATTTTAAAAATCTCCCTCAACTTTGAATATTCAGCATCCAATATTATTAAGGAAAGTCTACTGTTAATGTGATTCAGATTATTTTGTATGCAATCCATGTTTTTCTCCTTGGGTAGTCTCTTTATCCCCAATTCTCTGAAATTTCATCACTATATGTCAAGATAAAGATCTTTTTATATATATTCTGTTTAGCAGCTGGTGGACTTTTTCAATCTGAAGAGTCATGTCTTTCTTAATGTAAATTTTTCTCTATTCTTTTTTTTGTATTTATTAAACGATCTACTTTTATTCTTCCTCATTTTTATTAGATATTTGAAAAATCTTTACCTTGGAAGCCTTATGATATATGGTGTAGGTCACATTCTTCAAAGAATTTTCAAAGTACTTCCACCACTTGATGTATCACTAATTGAATTGTGCTAATGATTAGCAAAAAAGCATTTAGGATACAAATGAATAGGCAAGCCACAGACTGGGAGAAAATCAGAATACATATACATGGCAAAGGATTTGTATTCAATATATAAAGCGTTCCTTCTGTAAAATGTAACTGTATTGCTTTCTTGTGCTAGTGGCTGAAGGACATACCCAGTGGATAAAAGGGAGTTTCTCTAAATCCCACCCTCTTGAGTAAGAGAATAATCAGTTTTTGTGTGGGGTTTTTTTAATGGTAAAATAGACGTTTTATTTATTTGTATGTAAACTTATAAACCAACCAGCCAAACTGGTACTATTGTCATGACAGCAAAATACAAAAAACATCTTTTACAAATACTTGAGTAATAAACAAATTAAAGATTGTAAAACAGCAAGAGGGGCAGAGGAAATCAGTGAAGCATATTATAGCTTAACCATTCACCTGAATTGAGGCTTTTAACAAGCCTCCCAATCCCAGAAAACATGAGTAATCCTTTATCACACACCTTTGTACTTTTACTTGCTATTTTTGAGGTTAAGATTCTAGATCTAGAGTTATCCAAAAACTAGATCTAGTATTATATCTAATTATCTCTAGCCAGAGGCATCTTTTATCATTTGTCTAACAGCAGCAAGACTACAAAGTCTCTACTTAGACTCCAATCATACCCGACCCCCACCCTCCAAATTGGCACAGAAGGCATAATGAGAAGCAGCACATCAAGGCAGAGATACGTAGAAAAATCCTAGGAGAGGTAATACAGCCACTGCCCAAACTGAGATTGAGTAATACACCCATCATCACACTCTGTTCATGGCTATATGTTCGTGGACGGCGATATGCTGCTCATGGAATAATCTGGGAATGAACCCGCGGATTGCTGGGCACCATAATATTTAGGGGCTTGTAGTATTGCATCATAGGTTTCCCCAGCAATTTCCAAAGAGGCCTCCAAATCACTGACAGGATTTTGCCGGAACTGGATCTGGGGCTGCAGGGCTTCCTCTCCATAACTAAGGAATTGGTTGTTCCAGGCCTGGGGACACCAGGTCTGACCGTTCCAGGCAGGGTAGTTCCAAGATGGGCTGGTCCAGGAATGGTTGCTCCACACGAAAAGGTTTCCAGAAGCGTTCACCAGGCATCCCCGGTGGCAGGAGGAGAGGCCCGGGTAGTCTGTAGTTGCTGAGCTCATCGGGGTCACACGGTGGCTCTTCTTTGGCCAGTTGTATTTCTGCCACCTCCTACATTTCGTTCTCTGGTTCTGGAACCAGGTCTTAATCTGTTTGTAGCTAAGGTCCGGGATGTTGGAAAGTTCTTGCCTCTGCTGGAGGCTGAGATATTTCTGTCTTTGAAATCTCTCATTGAGTCCACAGAGCTGGGGCTGTGAGCAGACGGTTCGGATCTTCTGATTCTTGACCTGGGCTTTCTCCTCCTCCCCTGTCCCGTTCTCTACAGAGGTGGGTAGTGTTGCACTGGGACTGCTGGGACTGGTGGGAGAATCAGGCTGTTCTGAATAAGCAGTCTCCGTGTGGAGCGTCTCAGCAGATGACATTTGCAAGGATGCAGAGTTTTCTTCAGGCGTATAAGTCTCAGGCACTGGTGAAGGCTCCCTAGATTTTGATGATTCGGAGCAGGGCAGGCTTTGGGGATAAGCCAAATCCACACTCATGTTGCTGAGTTGAAGGAGAGAGAAAAACACACCAAAGAGCTAGATTGTAAGAAAGACCCAGGCTTCAGTATTTAGCTAGAAGAGCTTAGAGAAATATGAAAATCTCCAGATGTAAAAGTATCAAAAAGACGGGAGGAAATGGGTCAGCTTTGCAGTGACAGTCAATTTTGCAAAAAAGATGAAAAATTTGGAGGCTCTGGATTTATAAAGGAGGCTCAACCAAATTTAGGCCCGCCCTCCTGGCCCAATCAAGTTACTTTATAAGAAAATCTGTAATTTCAAATTTTGGGGGTGGAGTAGGGGTAACTAGCTGATTGTTTCAGGTTGATCATGCTCCCACAAAGTGTACACTTTTTGTTGGTTATTAATTAAAGGTTCCAGGAGCAACATAAGGATGAGCAAGAAATTCCCCCAGTTTGTTGCCTTCTGAGTCATAGTGAAGCATTCGGAAGCAAGCATCAGAAAAGAAACATGGATCATCTGGTGCAAAACTGTCATCGTTGGTCACCCATCTGGCTGTGTACATTTTAGAAACAAAACATTTTCTGGTCCATAGCCAATGCTTGGTAAGAAGGGGACAAAGTATTCTACCCAAGCAGTCATCTCGATGCACAAGCCTTATGTCAGTAATGACAACAACATGCTCACAGTCTCCCTGGTGACAGTATAAATAGGGAAAACCCAGTTTAATATGTAAGTCATTGAAGGTGAAATCTTCCATTTTAGCAGTCTGAAACTTTCTATAGCCTCTGTCATGGGACTCTGACCACTCAATGATAGTTCTGCTCAGATCTCTGCATTCAGGGTATCTTCTATCGTTACAAAATGTTCCTTCAAAATAAAAGAAGGCTGATTTGTATAGGTCTTTGCTGCTGTGCTCAGAGGCCTGGTCAGGAGTGTTGCTGAATCCCCCACCAATCTGGAGGTCACTGACACAGCAAATTGGATCCCTTAGTTCCGTGAGCTTCTGACTGCCCAGTACCAGCATCGTCTGGTATGGTTTGTGTTCTTGGTGCTTATGAAATGTAACAGGGTATAAGACATTCACAGACAGGATAAGTTCCCCCTCTTCAATCATGTCTGCTGGATTTTCAGGCTTTTTTCCTATGGCGTGTGAGTCCATCTCATAAGCAAGTATTTCTTGCCTGCAGGCCCGATCTATGGTTAATGTTTCTTCCCGACGCTCCAAAAGCTTCTTTCTAACCCCCAAGGTCACTAGGTCGGTATCCTCTGGGATGACTTCTGGGTCCTGGTCCTCACAGCACTGCAGTTTACCAAGGCCCCAAACTGCCTTCAGCTCGGTCCCTGCCTCCAGATCGCAGCCCAGATCCCGTGCCACCGCGGCATCGTCCCAGCCCCGGCGACCCCTCCTTGCCCAGGCAGCTCGGATGCCGGTTGCCCGAGGCTCCTTCAGGGACAAATCCCCCTGCCCACGCAGCCGGTCACGCACCAGCTCCCCGAAGGCGCCCACGTGGAAAGCGCGTGTGTTTAGCTCTGGCTTCTTGTGTTCTGGAAAGTTGCAGCCACCACTGCTGGCGACCGGGTCCTGCTCGCTGCAAACCCCGCTGCTCGTTGGGACGCCTGGCTGCTTTCAGCCATGTTCTCCCCACTCCTCTGTTCTTTTCGCTTCATTTTCCTTAGCTGCTCCTTCTGGAATTTTAGATAAAGTTCTATATCTATTCTCTTTCCTATTGTAGATATCATGTCTTTGGAATTTTGCGGTGCATTCTGTTTGATTCTAGATCCTGAATTAATTTTTAAAAATATATAATTTTATTGATTTCAGAGAGGGAGAGAGAGAGAAACATCAATGATGAGAGAGAATCATTGATTGGCTGCCTCCTGCATGCCCCCTACTAGGGTTTGAGCCTGCAAACCAGGCATGTGCACTGACCAGGAATCGAAGCAGGACCTCCTGGTTCATAGATTGGTGCTCAACCACTGAACCACACCAGCCAGGCATGAATTCATTTTTTAGCTGTAATCTTTCTGCTTCTCACAATATCTAATGGACTAATTTTATTTCAATGATTAAATTATTCATTTCCAAAGTATCTAAATATTTTTTATGCAAAATCAATTTGCATCTAATTATATTTATTCTAAAACCCAGGTCTGTCTGCTTTATTAACTCTCTTTTTCAGGTATGAACTCCTCCTCTTGTTGAGTGCCTTTCTCCCATGATATTAACTTTCCTCAAATACTTGGATTTTCTTGTCTGTGAGCTTCCATTGGAACTGGGATTCCTTATTAGCCTGAGGGTCGTGCTTGCAAAAAGGAGTAGGATATGCAGGTGTGAACTGCACTGCACCTGTATACAGTGATAATGAGAAATGGGTGAGATGTGCTGCTGGGACAAGGTGAGTCCATGGTTAAGCTTTCTGGATACAGAGGCTTCTGTTCCCCTAGGGAGCGGGGGCTTTGCCTGGCTTCTCTGACCCAGACATCCCACCCCCTGCTCCTGCCCATGGGAACACACCTCTCTGCTCACTGTCTGGCCTGAGATGAACACTCCTGGCTTTCCATTCTGTGATGCCCCAACCGTTCGTGGACACACGGGGCCTCTCCCCCTCCCAGTTCACAGTTCTGGGTGGGAAGGACCCCCAGAGCTGCCCCACCTTTTGCAGTATCCTCTCCTCGGTGGAGCTTTGGTCTTTGGGTTTCCATCTTCAACCTGATCCATCTGGTTTTCATCTTTTATAATGGTTTTTGGTGATTAGGTATTCCCTATATTGTTTTCTAGCAAGGATATGAATTTATTTAGATCTCTTATGAGCAGTTTATAGAGAACTGGAGTAAAAAGAAACAACTATATGGGCTCAGTCTGCTATCTTGAACCAGAAGTTGACAAGTTCTTTGTATAGACGACTGTAACACGTACCACATTGTACTGTAATTGCTTACCCCGCAGTGTGACCCCTAAGGACACAGACAAGGCTGTGCTCTTACTAGGATGGCTTCTAGAGCCTGGGGCTCAATATTTTTGGAATTAATTTGATGAATGAAAGAAGTGATTGTGTCAGTGTGGTTACAATGAGGATTCTAGTTCTTACCCCATCATTTGTAAGATGGTTCCTATCTACACAATTGGAGAAAAGGTTAAAGATTAATCCTTTCGTTTTAATCGGAAGGAATTCCTTTAGTCTTTCTCATAGGCCAGCTGGGCTCACACTGAGCACTGTTTTCACTGACCTGAGAATGTCATACTTTCTTCTTCACTTTTTTTCTTTTGTTTTGTTCATCCTCACAGGAAAATATTTTTTCCATTGATTTTTACAGAGAATGGAAGAGAGGGGTAGAGACAGAGAGAAGCATCAATGTGTAAGAGACACATCAATTGGTTGCCTCCTGCACACACACCCCAATCTGGGCTGGGGATTGAGCCTGCAACCAAGATATGTGCCCTTGACCAGAATCGAGCCCACAACCCTTCAGTCTGCAGGTTGACGCTGTAACCACTGAGCAACCAGCTAGGGCTCTTTTTCACTTTTGAAGGGTAGTTTTTGTTGGATACTGAATTCTTGACAGTCTTTTATCTCTAAGCCTTTCAGTGTATCATCCCTCTGACCTCTATCATTTTTTTTAATCCTCCCCCGAGAATATTTTTCCATTGATTTTTTACAGAGTGGAAGAGAGAGGGAAAGACAGAGAAATATCAATGTGAGAGAAACACATCGATTGGTTGCCTCCTGCACACACCCCAACCAGGGCCCAGGCCATGGAGGAACCTGCAACCGAGGTACGTGCCCTCGACCAGAATTGAACCTGGGACCCTTGGGTCCATAGTCTGATGCTCTACCCACTGAGCCCAACTGGCTAGGACTGACCTCTATCATTGTTAATAAGAAGTCAGCTGTTATTGAGGATTCCTTGTATGTGATGAGTTTTTTGTTGTTTTGTTAGCCACTGAGATTCTCTTTGTCTTTGGTTTTTGACAATTTGACTGTGCTATACCTCAGTGTGCATTTCTTTGAGTGTATCCTCTTTGGAGTTTGTTGATTTTCTTCGATGTGGAAATTAATATTTTTTCATCAAATTTGGAAACTTCCTAAACTTACTTCTACAAATATATTCGTTCTTCCCCTTTCTCTCTCTTCTCCTCCTGGTTTTCCCATCATGTGTATGTTGGAGCGCCTAGTAATGTCCACAGGTCTCTATCGCCCCTGTCCTCAGACTAGATAATCTCTATAATTTATCTTCAAGTTCATTGATCCTTTCTTCTGCACTCAGATCTGCTGTTGAGGCCCACTGGTGAGTTTCTCATTTCAGATATTGTGCTTTCCAACTCCATCATTTCCATTTGGTTGTTTTCATAATTTCTATTGCTCTATTGATGATCTCTATTTGGTGAGCCAGCAATGACATACTTTCCTTTAATTCTTAGACATGGTTTCTTTAGTACTTTAAACATATTTACAATAGTTGGTTTGAAGTCTTTGTAAGCCTAATATTTGGCCTCCTTTAGGGACAGTTTCTAGTGACTAATTTTTTCCTGTGCATGAGTCATACTTTCTTGGTGTCATTTTTTTGGGGGGGGGAGTGAGGGAAGTGGTTGTTTTGTGTGTGTTTTTAGATAATGTAATGTGGCTACTCTCAATTTCAGACCCCCTCCCCCCTCGGTTTGATGTTGCTGCTGTTTGTTTAATGACATTCCTGGACTAATTTTGTGAAGTATGTATTTCCTGTAGTGTGAAGCCAATGCCATCTCTGCTCAGTTAGCGTAACGGTCAGCTAATGATTGGACAGAGATTTCCTTAAATGCCCTGAGCTAGGAAATCTTCTACCATTTGCTAAGAGCTCTGTGTGGGGGTTGAGGCATGTTTTCAATGCCAGGCAGTGTATGGCTCTGCCCTGGCCTTCACTTCCTGCTTGCACAGGCCCTGGAAGCCAGCCAAACCGAGAGACGGAGCCCTCCAGGTCTTTCCTGATCATGCACAGTCCCCTAGACCCCCAGGAGTACCCACAGCTTCTCATCCTCCCCGTGAACAGTTCATCTCTCAGATCTTCCTTTTAAATTTCTGGCCGTGCCTTTGTTTGTCCCAACTGTTATCAGTCTTGGGCAGCTGCAATGTTGAATAATTGAAGCTGATTATGTTTGACAAACGCCCTAAGAATAGGGGTTTTCCCAGGGAAAGAGCCCTGAGTGGGAATATAACAACTTGGGGGCAGGGGCTTTCCCATGGAGAGAGCTTCAAGTTGGGTTAGATGATAGCAACACCCCAAGGTGAAGCTTTTCCAGGGAACTGCCGTGCAGTCAAACAGTAGCGGTGCTCTGGTGATGGAGCGCTCTGAGGAGCCCGCCCAGTCCGCTCCGCTGCCGGCTACAGGCTGCTGGGTTTCAAGGCTGCTGAAGCTGGGGTTGGGCCAAGTTCAAACACCACAAACTCCACTGTTCTTACCAAGGTTCAGTAGTTTCTCGCTGATAATCCCTCTTCAGATTGTTGTTGGCCTCTGGTTAATATCCAGATATAATCTGTATAATATCTTGCCAATGTTTTGTTGCTTCTATGAAAGAATAGATTTGCAGAAGTCCGTCCTTCACCATTCCAGAAGTCCCACCTCTGGTTAGGGGCCATTTCTAAGATCAGGCTTCTCTAGGTGTTAACTAATAAGGAGGTCTTCACTCAAACAGGATTAAAGTAATGCCCTGCCCTGGAGGTGTCTGGGTTTAAAAAGAAAGACACTTACAGGAAGAAAAAGCTTGTTTTAGGATCCGTAGGAATCATCCCAAAGCAATGGGGTGCCGCGGGCCTGCCAGGGCACAGACCGCGGAACGGACGCCCGCCCAGTGGCCTCTGGGCTGCTTCCCCCGGCAGCTGCCGGTACAGGGAAGGGAGCTGCCATGTTGTGAGCACTTCCTCTAAGCCACAAGTTTCATTCTCATTATCTTCACAACTTACCACCAAAAACAATGATCTCATTTCCACTTTACAGGTGAAGAACCTGAGGCTCACAAAGGTCAAGTCACATGCCCAAGGTTAGGTCTCTCCCGGGAGAGCCTCCCACAGTCACAGAGCTGCTCCCTGCTCCCTGCTCCCAGCACCTGCTGAGCGGGCCCAGGTCCATCTCTCCTTTCATCCAGGAGCCAGAGCTTCCAGACAGTCTCCCTCAAATCAAGGCTGGCAGGGGCTAAGCCTGGTTGTGACTTCAGGGCTGGCAGTGTAGGATGGTCCCCTCCACGTGCTCGGCAGAATAGAGCGCACAGGCCTGAGTGCCCAGAGCGCGCTCCCCCGCCCTCCCCGCCCCCCCCACACACACACTGCAAGCTCAGTGTATGTCTGTGCAGGACAGGAGGGCACGTCCCCAAACGTCCCAGCATCCTGACCAGCCACAGCTCCACCTACTCCCACTGACTAAACAAAGAGGCATATTCATTACAAAGTCATATTCATAGAAGATGAGCTTTATTTTGATGGCTCGGAAATTAGCAAGGGAATAAGCACAATGACAACAGTGCTCTCTCGTGCGCTGACTCATCTTCAGATGTGATCTCGCTGGGTCCTCACAGCCGCACTGCAACGGGGAACCACTGACCAATTCACTGAGGACTTGTCGGCGGCCACCCGGCTCCCACACGGGATGTAAACACTCCACCCAGCCTCCCTGCTCCTCAACTCCCGTGGGCAGGGCTGCCATAGGCACGCGCAGCTACATGAACTTCCTCAGCTCTCACACCAGGGGCCCGGCCACCCATCTCTGAACGAAGATCCTCCTCATCAACACGTGTGGCTTCTTGGCGTCCCAAGAACCCTGGTCTTAAGCGTGCAGGGATTGCTAGGTCAGCTGTGGCTGTGCCAAGTGGCCAGCCAAAAGCCTTGGCAAGCCCCAGGCACCAAAGAACCTGGAGCTAAGCAGAGGGACCACCAGCCCGCTGGCCATGGTCGAGCCACTGTCTATATACACCAGGCTCCCATCAGGGAGAAATTCTGGTCAGGGGCTCCTCCGCGTCCCACTGGCCTAACCTGTGGGGAAAGGGAAGAGACACCGTCCCCACCTCCCTCTCTGCTGTGCTTGTTACCAACCAGCCCTTCTGGCTTTTCTCCGGAAGGAGGGCAGCTGCCCCTCTCCCCTGCGGGGACAGTTCAGAGCCAGCCCAGCCTCCGCTCACACCGGGAGGCCTTCTTCAGTTCTCAGAGCTGGAGGGCCCCGTGCAGGGACCACTGCCTGGATCTCCCAGCGACACATGGGACACTTGGCTGTGTCCCTGAAGACCCGCCAGGCGCAGTAGCTGCACAAGTGTGTGTGGCCGCAGGGCACAAGGCAGGTGTTGGCAGCTTGGTGGAGGCAGACGGCACACTCCTCTCCTGCTGGGGCTGGGAAAGGGGACAACGTAGGTCAGGGCATATGGGGTCAAGGGGTGGGCAGCCTCCTCATGCTCTAGCCACAGAGAACCAGGCAGTCATATTGGGAAAAATATGACCTTGTGAGGAAAACATCACAATGTAAGGAAGTGAAAAAAATGGGTAAGAAACCCATAATGTGCAGACGTCAATATCAAGTTCCAATTTAGAAGGAAAGAAAGCAAAACACAAACATTCCACAGGGAGGAAGCCCACCAAGGAAATCCTGGGTGATGTTTTTCTTTTCACTTCCTTCTTCATGCCTTAATATTGGTTCATTCCTGTTTGGCAAAGCTTTCACTATGAACATGCACTGTTTCTGTAAAGCAGGGGCAAAATGACATCTGCCCACAAACGTGCTTTTGTAACCTGTAACGCTCGCCGCTGTTCTAGCAGCGCTGCCACCAGCCTTTAGGTGCCAGTAGGCAGAGGCAAGGGGTTGGCCCTGGGCCTGTGAGCCGTGATGAGGCTCGGAAGACACTCCCGAGCTCCCAGGCTGGGGCACCGGCCCCTCCGGGCTGGAGGCCTGGGAGTCCCCACTCTCCAGGAAACCACTCACCTTCAAGGTCCGGGTGAGTCTCCTGTGGGAGGGCCCAGGGCGAGGCTGGGGGGAAGGCGCTGACCGCGGGATCTAGGGAGAGAGGGGGCTCAGGCCTGCGGGGAGAACAGCGGGCCTCCACCCCCGCCCCGAGGCAGCGCCCAAAGCCTTCTTTTCTGGGTGGCAGCGCGAGAGCTCCCGGATCTCACGGCCCCTCCTAGCCGCCCCTTTCCCATTTAACCCAGCAGGGCATTTGTGGGGCGCAGGTCCTTTTCCCCAAGCCGCCCTTCCTTCAGGCACCTCCTCTTTACCCTGAGAGGGGACCCTCGGCATCACCCAGCCTGGACATCCGCCCCACACCTCCCAAACCAGGCTGCCCAGGGGCCTGGCTCCAGCAGCTGTGACAAGCCCTGCTGGGGGGACCACAGACCAACACCCAGGAATGCCCACATGCCTTCCTATGGTTGTATCTACTCCACCCCCTGAAATCCACTGTCCTCGCAGGCGGCTAGAGGGATGGTGTTGTTTCCCACCCACTGACCGCATATCTGACCCTTGCTCCACAGGCTGTCTCTTACTCACCTCTACCCCTCACTCATATGTTCCCTTGGCTTGACACCCTCCTCCCCAGTGAACTCCTACTTAGACTGCAAAGCCCCACCAAAATGTCTTCCTTTGTGAAAGCCCTATAACTGATGTGTGGGGTGTGATCTTATCATTCTTAGGGGCAGGTTGCCCTTCCTGTGCCCGGGCTTTATCCCCAGCTCCCATCTTGATACCCGACACCGGCAGGAGCTGATGGAGACACTGACTGAATATGAATGAATGAATGAATGAATGAACGAACGAACTAAGGTCTCCCGGAGGCTCTGGATGCGGGTGGGGTACCCCCCCAGCCCCCCCTCCCCCTGGGGGCGGTGCGTGGTCCCGGCGGATGGTCTCACCCAGCAGCTCGATGGCCTTGGTGGTCCCGTACACATCCATCACGGCCCAGAGCGGGGCGCCCGTGGGCACCCCCTGGCCCAGCCGC